AAGAAAGAAACATTCAAACCATAACAAGGATTGATATGAGAGGAATTCTTTATCATTGACTCTGAAGACAGAGGGGACCCCAAGACAAAGAATGTGGAGACCTCTAGGAGCTGAGAGTTGGCTCCTAGCTGGCATCTAGCAAAGAAATGGGGGCCCTCAGTCCTCCAATCACAAAAAGAGCTTGAATCTTGCCAACAACCTGAGTGAATGTCAAGGAAGATTTTGAGCTCCAGCTTCCTTTACCTCAATTTCAGCTGTTAGGGCCCTCAGTAGAAAACCCAGTTATGCTACGCCATACCCAGATTTCAGACCTACACAACTGTGAGCTCCTAAGTGTGTGTTGCTTTAAGCCCCTAAGCTGGTGGTAATGTGTTCCACAGCAATAGAACACTAATAACTTGTGCCTTGTTACAGCTGTCCAATTTTATTGCTATATAGTATGCCATCATATGACTGTAACACAACTTATCTAACCATTCTACAGCTAATAGATACAGACATCTGAGTAGCTGCCACCATGACCCTTCCAGGGCATGTTTTTGGTGAACACAAGCCCACATATCTAGGTATCTGTATTTAGAAATGAAATTGCTGGGCCAGAGAGCATACATATGTGCAGCTCTCGTGACTACTGCCAAATAGTGTTCCATAAGGGTAAATGATTTTTTTTTTTTTTGGAGACAGGGTGTTGTCATTCTGTTACTCCAGGGTGGAGTGCTGTAGCATCAGCCTAATTCATTGCAACTTCAAACTCCTGCATTCAAGCAATCCTCCTATCTCAGCCTGCTGAGTAGCTAGAACTGCAGGTACCCGCCACAGTGCCCAGCTAATTTTTCTATTTTTAGTAGAAACGAGGTCTCACTCTTGCTCAGGCTGGTCTCCAACTCCTGAATTCAAGTGATCCTCCTGTCTCATCCTCACAGAGTGCTAGGATCACAAGCATGAGCCATAACATCCAATTTTTTTTAATTGTTACGGGTACAAAATAATTGTATATATTTGTAGGGTACATGTGATATTTTGATACAAGCATACAATGTGTAATAATCAAATCAGAGTAATTGGGGTACCCATTCCCTCAAGCATTTATCATTTCTTTGTGTTAGGAACATTCCATTTCTACTCTTTTAGTTATTTTAAAGCATATCATAAGTTATTGTCACTTTGTTGTGCTACCAAATATTGTTCATTCTACCTAACTAGCAATACTTTTGCACCCATTAACCATCCTCACTTTATCCTTTCCCTCCTGGCTTCCCTTCCCAGCCTCTGGTAAACAGCATTCTGCTCTATATCTCCATGAGATCAATTATTTTAATATTTAGCTCCCACATATGAGTGAGATTTGTCTGTGCTTGGTTTATTTCACTTAATATAATGTTCTCCAGTTCCATCTATGTTGCTGCAAATGACAAGATTTGGAGGTTTTTATAGCTGGATAATAGTCCATTATATGTATGTACACAATTTCTTGATCCATTTATCCATTGATGGACCCTAGGCTGATTTCAAATCTTGGCTATTGTGAATAGTGCTGCAGTAAACATGGGAGTATGGGTATCTTTTTGACATACTGATACCCTTTCTTTTTGACATATACTCAACAGTGGGATTCCTAGGATATGGTAGTTATATTTTTGGTTTTTTGAGGAACCTCCATACTATTCTCCATAGTGTTTGCTCATTCTCACCAACAGTGTATGAGGGTTTCCCTTTCTCCACATCCTTGCCATCATTCCTTATTGCCTATCTTTTGAATAAAAGTTATTTTAACTAGGATGAGATGATATCTCAGTGTAGTTTTGATTTGCATTTCTAATGACTAATGATGCTGACATTGTTTCATATACCTTTTGGCCATTTGTATGTCTTCTTTGAGAAATGTCTATTCATATCTTTTGCTAATTTTAAAATCAGATTGTTCGATTTTTTTTTCCTATTAAGTTGTTTGAGCTCCTTATGTATTCCGGTTATTAATCCCTTGTCAGATGAGCAGCTTTCCAAATATTTTCTCCCATTTTTGTGGGTTGTCACTTCACTTTGTTGAATGTTTCCTTTGCTGTGCAGAAGCTTTTTAGCTTGAAGTAATCGCATTTCTGCAATTTTGCTTCAGTTGCCTGTGCTTTTGGAGTATTACTCAAGAAATCATTGCCCAGATCAATGTCCTAGAGCATGTCCTTAATGTTTTCTTTTAGTAGTTTCATAGTTTTGATTTAGTTTTTGTATAGTTTCATAGTTTTAGGTCTTA